TGCAGCTTATGCGAGGCTGAGATTTAATTTGTCTGCCTACCAACATGCATGGCTGTAACATGCTAGAATTTACTCTGCAATATAATTCAAAGTCTGTAAATATCACATGTCCGGCTCATCACTACTCACAATGTGTGTGCACACGTGTGAGAGAGAGAGGGGGAGAGATTTTTCACGCATTGGTCCGATTATTTTTACTAATTGCTGATTTTCTTTTTAAAAAATTAAATTCGAGTGATAAAACTTTAAAATAAAAATAAAATAATTGCTCTAAAAGTGACTTCCATCAAGTTAAAAAAAAAAAAAAATAGTGACCAAATTTAAAACTTAAAATGCTTAACAAGTGACTAATTGAAATTTATTCCACAAAACGCTTTTTCATGATTAGACAATTCTACCCTCTATTTTACACACACACTCTCTCCTCTTTGTTCTTCTTTCTAACAGAGGAAAATGAAGCTATTGATATATATATTTTTTGATTGACGATGGTTCTAATAATAATCAGCTCGAATATGTGATCCTTGCCTACATAATTTCTCTCCACTAATACACATTATACATATGTGTGTGTGCGCGCTTAGATTTATGAATTGGATTGGTCTTGATTTTTCTTATGGTTATTATTTCTAAACAATTTCTTCTAATGTAATAATATATTGAATAGTTTATATAGTCAGCGTGTGTCTTGTTTGATTAAATCTTCATACAATTGTAACGAATTTTTTTAGGAGATTTTATTTGATCATGTCACCGAGAAATTATGAATTTGAATGTATATTATCAATATCGATTTGTTGTTAAGTATTCTATCCGCACATACTCAACCCACCGAGACCATGAGAGGTCCATATACTTTATGGTTTAGCACCTGTTTTACAGAGACTTAAACCAGGCCTCAACTAGTTTCATAAGCCCCATTATTTCATTGGTTTTGTGCGATCTAAGACAAGGTTATGGTTGATATGAGCTAATAATTAAAATTTATATAATATCACTAATTAATTATCTTACCTTCATCTCTTGTAAATACTCATCTCTAATATTGCATGATCTTCAATGTTTTTTTCTCTTACATTAAAGAGATAAAGCGCAGAGAGAGATAGAGTATGTCAGCCCAAAGTAGATTTGTCTAATTATAAAATAATTAGTTATAAAAAAAATATTTATTTTAAAGAGTAATGATGTTGGGAGTAATTACCGAATAGGATTATTATTTCATTATTCAATCTCAAATGATCAATTTGATGTTTAAGTAGGGCGCTCTTGAAAGGGGATGAAACATTTCTCCTGGGCTCTTAAGCCTATATGTTTGGAAAGTTTTTTATCCATCCAAAATTGAAAAGCTACTATTCAAATATATAATACTAATTTTAATCTTATAATTATTTACAAAATCACTTGTTAAACCCTATTGAGACTTTCAATCCTTTTCTTCCAATCCAAAAAATAAAAATAAAATTACCATTTTTTTTACACTTCTTGTCCACCACTCTCACCCATTAGAACAACAGAGTAATATCATCAGAGAGGCTGATTCAAGAAGTCACCATTTTAATTGCCAAAATATGAAGCTAAGATTTCTTGTGCATTTGTACAAGCCGTGCTTTCAGCTAATTAATTAGACTAATGGTGAAAGTATATGTATGCAGGATTAATGATTAGAGGTAAAATGTTTTGACAAGTTTGGATTTGATAGTGTGACAAAAGTAAGGTGAAAAATAAATGTCAAAAATACAAGTCCAATGACTCTTTATTTATTTATTTATTTATTATTATTTTTTTTAAAGTTAAAATAAACTCACACATTCATATTTCAACCAAGACTGAAATACAAATTTCGTCTCCCAAATCATGTCTCAAGAGATTAACCCAATTAAATTAAATTTTGAAATATAATTTTTGAGGTCCTTATCTTCTTCAGAAACTATTTTTTGCCCTCCATGTGTTAGGTAACTATAGTTAAAAAAAATTAACTATAGTTACTTTCCCTGTACATGTTACACATTTTAACTATAGTTACTTTTCTATAGATATTACACCCTACACAGACTCTGTCTGCACAACTCGTCTTTATTTTTGATTTTCTTCTCTGTTTTTGAAGATGAGAGGTGCTCAGGGAGCCTACAAATTTTTGAGGAACTTGGAGTCAACTATTGGAAGGCGTTTGAAGGTGCACATTGTGCACTCTGCAACTGTTGGACCTGAGCATGCTTTGATTGTAGTTAATCGGAAGGTGATTGATACATTTTTAAATTCGTTGTTTGATTTATTTTCATTATTGGGTTGGTTAAAAGTTTTTGTTATTATGTTTGATTTATTTTCATTAGGGGGGTTGATTTGAGTTCATGTTGTTTGATTAATTTTAGGGTGTGAAGGATCTGCTGCAACGGACAGAATGTACACTAGATTGAGTCAGCTGAATGTTTTAGCAGGAACATTGGAGCTTGGAACGAAGGCCATGAAAAAGGTCGGCGTGATTGAAGACGATGAGGTCTCTCGCCACATGTACGAAGCGATGATCCAAAAGATCGACGACATGAAAGTTTTGCAGGACAAGAAGCTCGATGAGTTTCAAGAGTTGCAGAACCAGAAGCTGGATGAGCAGAACCAGAAGCTCAACAACATAGAAGCTCTGCTGCAGCAGTTACTCAGCCAAGAGCCAATGGGTAAGAAGCCCATCGCCGGTGCTGGTGGTGCCCCAAAACAGGGGAATGGAGGGGAAAATGGTAGCCAGGATGGTGCTGCAAATCCAGAAGACGGCGCAAGCTCTGTGAAACCAGAAAATGGCGGAAATGGCGGTGAGGATGGAGGAAATGGCGTTGAGGATGGAGGAGTGGATTGGAAGGGCTTGTTTTAATGGCGGTCTGATTTTGGTCTGATTTTGGGGGGTTGGGTTTGAAAGAAGATTAGTGTTAATGTTGATTTCTATTTTCAGATTATGTTTAAATGAATGTTCTTTTCTTCCATTAAGTTGGGTATTATGAATCAATATTATTTAAGAAGTATTACTATATAATATTGTATTCAATTTCTATGTTTCATTGACAATAAGTTTATTATGCATCAGTAATTTGATAGTCTATATCACAACTATTTTCTTCCCTTTTGGCTAACACACATACATTAGATTTTGGGAAGGAGTTACCATTTGCAAAACTAAATTGTGAAAATATTACATGAAACCATAAATTAATATTTTACTGTATATAATTGACACCTGTAATTCATTTTTGTCTTTCATGCTTTTTGTTTCCATAACCCATTGGAGATTTGTTCCCCGCCAACTGTAATGCTGCGGATTTGTCTTTTAGCAAAACCAGCGTACGAGCGTTACATGTACTACCTGTCCCCGCACCCTCTCTCTCTCCACCTCTGCAACTCTCTCACTCTCCACCTCCGCAACTGAATCCCTCCCTCAGTGTTTGTCTCCCACTAATGATCATCATCACTGCAGTACTCCGCATATACTTCTTAGTATTTATATACATTCCTTAATGCCATATTCGGACCTTTGAAGCCATTTCAACCATCAAAGCACCACCATAGTCTCTCTCTCTCTCTCTCTCTCTCTCTCTCTCTCTCTGTATATATACTGTGTGTGTATAGGAATGGCAACGGGGCGGGTTTGGAGTGGGTTTTCCTAAATCCCGCCCCGCCCCTTTTAATTTTTGTCAAGTCCATGCCCGCCCCGAGACCCGCGACGGGTTAGATTTTCATGTCCAGCCCCGCTCCGTTGGGAAATACTGTGCCCCGTGCCCGCCCCGTTAACAAATTTTTTTCTCCCACGTTTTGGAACTTAAGCTCGTGCTATTTAAATGTGGAAAGCCTGGGAATGGCACAACATAAATAAAATTATGTATCCCAACAAAAATAAAAACCAAATCACAAAAAGTTCTAAACTTCAACTTCCACCATAACCAAAACAAAAACAAATTTAATACCAAGTTTACATCCCAAATTAGGATGTAAGAGATGGGCAACTCGGTAAACTGCTAAAATAAGTTATTAATATTATATATATATATAATATAGTTATATGCTTAGCGGGGTGGGGCGGGGCGAGGCCCCTATGATATGTGTACTAAACCCTTACCCGCCCCGTGACCCACAACGGGTACAAAATTTGTGTCCATGCCCGCCCCAACGGTATAAAAAGTGTTCCCATATCCATTATTAATGGGGCGGGACGGGGTGGAGCCCCGGCGGAGTAGTAAAAATTGACATCCCTATGTGTGTGTATATATATATACTACGAGTAAATCATTATACAAAAGAGTGAAGCCCAAACCACCAGCCCACAAGCCCTAATTTAACAAGCCCAAAGACAAACAAAAACACAACTGCATCATTAGACACTCATTAAGCACTGTGCTTGGGAGACTCCAAGCAGCAGCAATGGCTCTGGCCTCCTTACAAGCACTAAGTTTGCATGACATCAGCCTGCTTCGAACGCAATTGTAGATAAATCTTCTTCGCTGTGGCCATGGAAGCTTGCTTTTATTAGAGAAATGGTGCCTATTTCTCTCCCTCAAAAAAAAAAAAAAAAAAAAAAAGAAATGTCACAGCTAGCAAAGCAAATTCTATAAACAAAGGCCTTTGGGGAGTTTGATTTCTCAGTCCACATAGTAACACCCCAATCTGAAATGGCCCGGAAGCTACAAACCCCAAGCAAGATGCCAATCCACACCTACATAGAGAAGGCACAATCGAAGGGTTGGACAGAGATCAGTGGGCAATGTGAGGGAACCAGCAAGGGAAGGTAGTGGTGGTGGTGGTGGTGGTGTAGGTGGGGCTACGGAAAGGGGTCATGGCTAATGAAATGTATAACACCGGATTACATTTTGCAGGAGGCAAGCCAAACACTTATCACAACTAGGCCTGTTTTAGAAATGCAAACTCACCAATAACACCGGATTAAACTCACTCCAATGTTGCACTTGCGAAGCAACCAACAAACTTACTAGGCTAATCAAAAGATGATCGAGTGCTTTGAGCAATTCTACCAAATAAAATTTATTACTAGATGCCCATTTTCTACTCATAATTGGACCAATTTATTTAAAATTATGGATATGTATTTCATTCAAATCTATAAACAAAATTAACTTTTTAAATAGAAAGAACATAAAAAATAACAATCAGACAACATAGAGTTTGAGCTTTTAAAGAAAGGGAGAAGGTTGAGCTTTTAAACTCTAAAGTGCCATCCCCATGGTTGTCTGTGTTTCTACACTCTGGCAATTTATCAGTTCATTCTTCTCAGAAACTATTTGCATGAACCTTCAAAGGGAACACTATTGCAGAAGTCTCGTTTAGCATCCTCAACCTTACACGAGTACTTCGCAAGACGCCTGCGGTACATCGCGCACTCTTTGTAAGTTCCCTTTTTGTCTATGCATTGCTGCATTATAGGTTAGGAAAAGAAAACACAGTTATTAGGGGGAACCCAAAAAAAAAAAAAACAATGAACTAGTTAAAGAAGAAATTTATGCATGATTATCAGAAGAGAACTTACACTAAGAACGGTCACAACAGTTGAGTTTCATTTTATGTCAATGCCTTAGTAAACCATAGAAATAATTAAACTCATATGGTGGTTCGCTGCATGGGGAATACTAAAAAGGCAACGATATGTACCAATACACACAGTATTATGCTTTGTGCCTTAATATTGAATTACTGCATAATTTTCTCCCAAATATCTAACCGTTACCCTTTTCCCCAATTTTTTTTTTTTTTTTTTTTTTTTTTTTCTCTCTCTCTCCTACATTCATTGGTATCATACTCTCTCTTCTGATACAATTGGGAGCATAACATCGATCCAACTAGCGATCAAAATCACGTCAGAACCCTATAATCCACCATTGTCATCATATTGATTTAAAGCCTCACTGAACCAGATTAATGGAGTTCCTTTTTTTCTTTCTTTCATACACACACGCACACGCACACATATATATAAAGTAAGTGAGAAGATTTTATTCATCAAACAACCAATACAATGTCGAGGAGAACTCCACAGGCCTAAGATGTAAAATCAGAGCATTCTCAACAAACCCAAGTAAACTCCTAAGAGTGTAAAAGCAAAAAAACACAAATGAATCGACACAAGAAATCTCTTTAATCTGTTCACTATACTGGAGCACCACAAAAAACAGAGTAATCACCCCCTCTGATGAGATTCAAAGACTTTGGTAAATAGGAAAGCTTTATCCATTACTGTAGGACTTAAAAGAGGAGCCTCAAATTGATGAGAGATTCAAAGACTTTAGTGATTGAAAATTGAGACAATATGGAGCTAGAGTTTGAAGCCATATCATGGAAATATAGAATTCCAAATCAAAGAGAAAGGAAATGAAACAGGAGTAATCTAGACACCTAGAGAACAATACTTATAAATACATAGGTGAGGTGACAACACATTTAAAAGAATACTCATAAAAAATTGCATTAAAAATAAAAGAAAAAAGAAATTGGATCACAAAAAGCTCAACTTGTAATTCCAATTATGATATCATCATAGAGTGTACAACAACAAAACTTGTATGATCTGATTATTAGAATTTTTTTTTTTTTTTTTATATATAACCTAAGAATTAGCCGAAAATAATCAATCTGGAAAGGGTTCAAAAGATCGGGACAAAGAATTTTTTTTTCTTGAATTATAGGACTCCACTTAACAGGTTTCAAAATATATATACATACATTATATGTATCATAAAAAATGCAAAACTATGCTTAATACCCCAAAGAAGAAGGGAAGGGAGGGAGGAGATGGGGAAGCAGCTCAAGCAAGTTTTATACAATTCATCAATTATTCCGTGTGATTTGCGATGAAGAACACTCACCTCTTGCAAGAATTTGCGATACATATTGCATACACGAGGAATGTCGATTTCCACATCAATAGCCTTAGTACTAGTATCAAAACATCAAACACTGAATTGGAGCTAGAAAAAATATTCCTGCTGGCTGCAGCTGCTCGAAGAAGGGAACCAGTTCCTGCAAATCGGAACCACAAAAGAATGTGCATGTTAAATTTAGAGAGAAGGGCATCCCAACTAGTAACTTAATGAAGCAAAGAAAAAAAGCAATAAATTACACGAAGCAGCTCTTCCGTTTATTTTTACAATTTAACACAAACTCAACATCCAATACATACCAAATAGAGAATCAATTGTTCTAAAAGCAGTTAGAATAGTTATATTGGAGCATATATGTAATAAGTTTACCCCTCAAGGGCATTTTAGTATTTTTCATTGTTCCTTTATTCTTATAAATATTTATATATGAGATTAGGTTGAGATAGGATTACACATTCTCTCTCTCTTACGCCATTTCTCCAACTTTCTCTCTCATGATCTCTCCTTGATCTGTGATCTAATCCTAATTCTATAACCCTAAACTTTGCATGGTATCAAAGCACAAACATAGGTAGATCGTTTGATTTTCCATTTCTTCGTGCACCAACAGAAGCCTCATCTTCAATCATCGGCAGCCTCATCCTCAATCGTCTGCAGCCTAGTTGTCGATGGTTGTAAGCCTCGTCATCTTTCGGTATGTAATCGTGTCCAATATAGTGGTCAATTTTTTGTTGTGGTTGAGTCATCGTTTGTCGGCCATCGTTAAGTTTGTCGAAGTATTGTTGTCATCAATTTGGTTGCAGCCATCACACATTAGGGTTTTCAATGAACTAAGATTGTTTTGATTCGATTTGAAAGAATTCAGCGCCACCTGTTTGTTGGACCCGGCCCAACTGAGTTCACTGGATTAATTCCAGCCAGAATTTGCATATCCGGTAGCTGTTTTGTGTTCCTCTTTTATCTATTACGGTTGGTTTCTCCTATACTAGTAACCAGAATTTGCATACTCTATCCAGAATCATGGCCTGTAGTTCTGACTTGTTCTCTTATACAATGTGTTTAATCCTCCAATGACCTTAATCAAGCTTAATGGGAAAAACTACACCTTGTGCGCAAAATCAGTGGAAATATTTCTCAAAGATGAAGGACTTGGTAGTCATTTGGTAAAGGATAAACCAAAGGACAGTGACCCTAATTTCAGTTTGTGGGACAGAGGGATGCTCAGATTACGTCTCTATTATTCACCAGTATTGAACCCCAAATTAGTTCCTCCTTAATGTATCTGGACATTGCTAAGGACATTTGGAACCGCCCAATGCAACTAAATTCAGGAACTGGTAATATCACACACATTATGAGGTGTGTAACAGTACTTTAGCCTTGAGCAAGGTTCTCACTGAGTTGTCATCAGCGTATGAGCCGATTCGTGCACAGATTTTTGGCAATCTCGCACTTCCATCTCTTCCTGATGCATTTTTGTGACTCTAAAGGAGCTACCCTATCTAGTGGCGCTTCCGGTAACGTTCAGATTTAACTGTCTCCCAGGGTGGATCTAGCAGCTTTAACCGTCGTCCCCCAGGGAGATCGTTCCACACATGGTGACCGTTGGCCGTGGCCGAGGTAAAGAATCCCGAAAATGTAAACACTGCGGTCTCACTAATCACACTGTTAATTATTATTAGGATCTGCATGGCAAACCAAAACCATCTATTTATGCGAATCAGGTATTCTATAAAGATGATGTTCGTGGTTGACTAGCTCCATCCACTCGGTTTACACAGGTTGCGGAGTCTAATATGATTCCTATCCCATGAGATGAATATCATCCTCTAAGGGTTTAGGTTTAGGAACAACTCATCTTAGTTCTACTATGTATCTCTCCTCTGTTTTATACGTTCCTCAATTCCCATTTAGCTTGATGTCTATTAGTAAGATTACTAAAACTCTTCAGTGTTATGCTACATTATATCCCTCGGGTTGTGTTTTCAGGATCTCAAGACGAAGAAGAAGATTGTTTCGAGGCATTAAGTAGGTAGCTTGTATTACTTCAATTTTGAGCATCAACCCCAAGCCTTTCAGTCTTCTCTCTCTCAGTGGCATTGTCGTCTTGGCCACCTTGTTTTGCAGTGCCAAGTCCCGAGTCTTAGTCGTGTTTTGTCTCTATCATGTGAAGCTTGTCAGCTAGCATCATCGTGTGTCTTATAAATCTGGGGTTACTAACCGTGTCTCTAGTTCTTTTCAGTTACTTCATTCAAATGTATGGGGTCCAAAAGCATGTTTCTAGTAATGGATTTCATTATTTTGTGACATTTGTGGATGATCATTCTCGTATGACTTAGTTGTTTCTAATGAAAGATCACTGTTGAGTTATTTATCATATTTCAAGTGTTTCGTAAAGAAATCAAAACTCAGTTTGGATGTTCCCTTCAAATTTTACGACAATGCCAAAGAATATGCCTCTGGCCCTTTTGATACTTATTTTCGGGCCAAAGGCATTATTCACCAAACCTCATGTACTCATACCCCACAACAAAACAGAGTACTTGAACATAAAAATCGTCATCTCTTGGAAAAAACTCACGATCTATTATTTCACATGCATGTTCCCAAGCAATTTGGAAGTGATGTGATTCTTACCGCCTGTTATCTCATTAACCGTATACTGTCCTCTGTCTTGCAAGGGACGTCTCCCGTTCTGTCTTATTTCTTGCATCAACATTTTTTTTCCTAGTTGATACTCACCACCCCCCTCCCCAAAACCCACCCAAACAGGAATTGTTTGCACCTAAGAGGAATCGAATTACCCAGTTGAGCCAACCCCTTAGTTGCTTCAACATTGTCTACTCTTACTCCTCGAGTGTATGGGTGTGTATGCTATGTTCATAACCTTGGACCTAGTTTTGACAAACTTAATCCTCGTGCAACTAAATGTGTGCTTCTTGGGTATTCTCTCACTTAGAAGGGTTATTGCTGTTACAGTCCAACCTTTAGACGATATTTGCCAACTGTCTCATTGCCTCTTCCTAAATCGTCCCCTAACCCTACTCCTCTCCAATCTACTGCTACATTAAAGGTTTACACTCGGAGACCCAAGCTGCCTACTGTGATTCATCCGTCTTCTTCAGAGTCTTTGGATCAGGCACCGTGTACTGAGTATGACTCTTTAACAATGCTTTGCGTAAAGGTCCTAGGTCGTATACTATGACTCTTTAACCATGCTTTGCGTAAAGGTCCTAGGTCATGTGCTACTTTCATCCTATAACTAACTATGTCTTCTATAATCGAACCAAGAGTCGCATCTTCCCTTTTATTTTTATTTTATGCATGTACTGCTTTTTAAAACTTTTGTACATAACATTGAAAAAAAAAAGTTTTAGACATTTATTTTTTTCTTGTGTGAGGGAGGGAACTATTTGCATTCATTACATTTATCAACAAAATATATTAAAAAAACTACAATAATATAAAGACTTTTCAAAAGTTACACCTACTGCATAAAATTTCATTTTTATCAAAATATTAATAATAATAGTAAAATAAAATGAAGTTCAAATTTTAACATGAATTTTATACATATAAATAATAAAATAATAAAAATTATATTTTACAATATATGATCTGTATTTTTTGTATAATAAAAATTCCATCATACAGTTACAGTATGTGATTCAAGTTCTCAAATCATCTCACAAACTCCTGAGTCTTTAAAAAAAAGTGTGCTTGCTTTTCAATACAAAAATATATGCATAACAATCAGGCTCTCTCCATATTTATATAGCTCTACAGGAATCAATAAATTACATTAATAACAGGGATTTTAGACATCCACGTGTTAACCGCCAAGAAAAATAATACATTGATATTTTCCGAACAAAACTAAAACTGCTATTTCAGTACCCAAAACATTAGCGACTATAATTGTGCATGTGTGGAAGACATAAGACAAATGGAATTTGCCATCTTTTAGCTGAGATAGCAGCATATAATCACCACTTAAGGAAAGCAAACTTTGCACTGTCACAAGTATTGTGTGAAATATGTAGCCTTAAGTACATGAAATAAAGGTTTTGAAATCAAATAAAGAACAGCAACAATTTCCTACCAAATAAGGCGGAAAAGCAGAAAGATGGAGACTTAAAAGTTCTTCCTGCAAAGGCAAAGCCATATATAACAAAATTTCAACTACATTATTAATGAAAAATGAGCAGAAGAAACAGAAAGTCACATCTATCAAATTAAAATCAGCATTATATAGATATTACCAATATTATAAAGATCAGATTTATCATGCTATCAGATATCTATCTACCAATCTATACATATCTCTCTATGCATATATAAACAACAACAACAATCAAAGTCTTTTTCCCAATTACTGGGGTCCGCTACATAAATCATATTTTTTCCATTCTGTTTCCCCTAAGACCATGGCTTCAGTCAAAACACATTTTTTTTCCCTACTAAAGGTAAGAGCAATCAATCCACATGTTATCATATCATTCTTTACTAACTCTATCCACGTTAATTTTGATCTTCCCCTTTACCTAATATTACCCTCAATGTGTATTGTGTACTATGTCACTCTCCTAAGTGACAAACATAAAGGTCTTTTGTGCAAATGCCAAAACCATCTTAACCAATTTTCTTTCGTTTTATCACCAATTTGGTGCTACTCCAACCATTTCAAGAATGTGATCAATTCTAGTATCAGTGCACATCCATCTCAACATTCGCATTTCTACCACACTCACTTAATGCATATGTTGTTTCTTAACTGCCCAACATTCCGTGTTATGAAGTGCAGTTGGTCTAATAGTTGCTTTATTGAACTTCCTTTTCAATCTTAACAGAATACGCCGATCATACAATACACTAAATGCACTACTCCATTTAACCCATCCTGCCTTGGGTTCTATGATTAAAATTCGTCTCTAATTTCTCCTTCATTATGGATAATTGAGCCTAAGTAACAAAAATGTTTAGTTTTTTTTTACCTTGTAATTCTCAATCTTCACAACATCCTCATTTGTATTTCTATTTTTATTTGCGTTCCACTCCATATATCTA